TGGATCCAGCCCCGATGGTTCCTTTGCAGCCCCCAGGATGCTCTTGGAGAAGGGAGGGGAGTAAATCCTCTGTGCATCAGTTTCCCCCATCCCAGCCCCACTTTCCCCGGTTGTCCCCCCATTTCAGGTTCATCACCCCCAAATCCAGGCTGGGTTCTGGCAATGGCCATGCAGCCCAATGCTCCCAGTTCCAAGGGTGCCATGGAGCCCAGGAAGGGGATTTAGGCAGGATCTGGCCCTGGATTATCTCTGACAGCTGCTCGTGTCTCTGCTATTTGCAGTTGGATGCAGGATGGGGCCAGGGCAGATGCTGTGGTGAAAGGTCAAGGCAGCTCCCCAGACCCCAAAATTTGCCCTATCCATCCAGAGATCTTAAAAATGAAGGAAAAAAAAGGGAGAAAACCTCATTACTAGCAGCAGGAAGCAGCCAGAATCCACTGGGTAGCGGGATGGAAGGGCTTGTTGGGGTGGTCCCTGTGTGGAGCATCCATGGGGGATAAGTGCACCCCTCTTGTCCCAGAAGGGACCTCTTTTCTTTTGGGGTCACCACATTTATTTCTGAGTGTCACTGGCAGCTTTGGCCCAAAGTCTCCCAAATTCAGGAGCTGGAGTTGATCAGCAATGGGATGAAACTGGGGTTCATGAGGGGGTACGAGGTGATGGAGCAGGGCAAGTTCTGGGGCGTGTTTTGGGTTGCTGGGGGTATTTTTGATTGCTGTAGGGGTCCCCCTGCCTGTGTGCCTCCACCAACCTCCCCTGTGAACCCTGCCTGGATGGAAAAGCTGGAAAACTTGGATACTCTGGCTCATGGGCTGTTTTTTTCCCATGTTTTCCTACATTTCAACCCCATTCCCCCTGAGTCCTGGGGCATCCCGGGGCAAGGCTGTCACCATTCCTGGGCCCTGCCACCCACCCTGTGCTCCCTGTCACTGTTTGGGAAGTCCAGCCAAATCCTTCAGGGGAAGCTTCCACTCCAAACTAGTTCTCCCAGTGCCTGCAGAGGGGATGGAGCTCCCCCAGCTACCCTGGGCACGGTGCCCCTGACTGCAGGAGGAAAAAAAAGGAAGGCGTTTCCCCAGACACCCCTTTATAACACCAAAAAATAACCTCAGATTAACCTGGTTTTTTAACATAGAAGTGCTGCACCCCTAGTCCTCAGGACTTTTCTTGACTCTCTGGACTCTTCTTGAAAGAGGGCAGGTTTGTACTGGATATTAGGAAAATTTTTGACTCTAAGGCCCTGGCACAGGTTGCCCAGAGAAGCTGTGGCTGCCCCTGGATCCCTGGAAGTGTCCAAGGCCAGTTTGGACAGGGCTTGGAGCAACCTGGGCTAGTGGAAGATGTCCCTGCCCATGGCAGGGGGGTGGAACTGGATCGTCTTTAAGGTCCCTTCCAACCCACACCCAAACCATTCCCTGTTTCCATAATCTCTTGGGATACCAGGAGAAATAATCTGACAGCCCCTCCAGCACCTGGGGATGGAGCTCACCTGGTCCCATTCCAGCCCCAATCCCTGGTCTAAAATCTGGCCCCAAACTCACAGGCCTTTCCTTCAAGGAGCAAAAATTCTTTTGTTTTTCTGGCGTTTGCTTTTTTTTGGGGGTTGAAATCCCAACATTTGGGTACTACTGTGGCTGTTACAGTTTCCAAACCAGCAGCACATCGTGGCCTGACCCTAAAGGAGGAAACTTTTTGGCTTTTCATACAAAAATAAGGATATTTATATATATACACACACACAGAATAAGCTTTTTTTCTTTTTTTTTCTCCTTATTTTTTTTTTTTTTAAGAGCTGACCAGCAGAAAAATGTGAAACCATTTCCCTGCAGGTTTGGAAAAGCTTGTGCTGGTGGGGTTGTGGGGGTTTGGGTTTTGTTTTCAGATGAGATCCAGGATATCTTTTTCTTCTTTTTCTTTTTTTTTTTTTAAAAAAGGCTTTACTCCCTCAAGAAAAAAAAAAAAAAAGATTTACAAACAAAATAACAGCCTGTATCAACTCTCCAGAAGAGAGATGGTGTGACAATATTAATCCAAACATCACGCTATTTAATTCCCCAATAAAACATTGGAAAAAAAGGAGCCAACAGTATCTGCACTAACACTTTGCTACATATAAAATCTCCAGCTAATATGAAGCTTATGGTACCAACCTCTAAAACAGTTAAGATATATACACATAGGTTTTTTGTTTGTGGTTTTTTTTTTTTGGGGAGGGGTATATTAACAAACAGAATATTACAAAATATTAAAGAAGGCAACTCTTCTGTCATTTGTTTGGGGTTGTGTGTGGATTTTTGTTCCTGGTTTTTGTTGTTTGTTTGTTTTTTTTCTTCACTTGAAGTTGGCGTAGTCTGAGAAGGCGTCGATGTATTCCTGCACCACCTTGTAGCAGAATTCGTACTGTTCCTGTGGGATTTGAAGAGAGAACGGTGTTAGGCCAGGAAAATCCACACCTCAGACACCATTTGATGGTTTGTGCTCTTTGGCAAGCTGGGACCATGCATGGCCAGGTGTCCTCAGCTGGATTCCCACCCGTGAGGTTCCCCCCTCCTTTGTGACCCCCAAACCCACCCTCCTTGCTGAGGTGCCAACAGCAAAAGAAACTCTCTGCTTTCTGCTTCCTCTCTCAAGTCCTATTTTGACCCCAAAAGAGTTTTTTCCTACATCCCTGATCATCCTTGCAAACCCCTCTGGCAAGACCTCATCCAGCCCTGCCTGCTCCAACCCTCCCTGTGTGCCCAAGCCTGTGCCACAGCCACTCCAGGACAGTGTTCCAGGTTCCTGGAGCCTGTAAATATGGGACTGTGGTTAGGGGTGTCTCCAACGAGGCTCCTACAGCTCCTCTTAGTGCTCAAAAGGCACTTGATGCCTTCAGCATCATCTTCCAGATGCCTTAACAAGAGGAAGGGCAGACACCTCCTGGCACATCTCCGTAGAATCATGGAATCCTAGAATGGATTGGGTTGGAAGGGACCTTAAAGACCATCTCCAACTCCCTGCCATGGGCAGGAACACCTCCCATAGACCAGGTTGCTCAGAGCCCCATCCGACCTGGCCTTGGACACTTCCAGGGATGGGGAATCCACAACTTCCCTCATGAAGAGGGAAAACCTTGAACCAGGGAGGTTTCTGCTCAACACTGAGCCCCCAGCCCACCCTTGCTGAGGTTTTGACGTGGCAGGAGGCCCTTACCAGTGTCTGCACCATGTGTGGCCTCTGTAGTCTTAAACTCTTCACTGTCTGAAAGACGTCCAGGATCGCCTCTGCCTTCACTCTCTCCAGGACAGTGCTCAGCGCACAGAAGGTGCCTGTTCTTCCTGCTCCAGCACTGGGGAAGAGAAACCAGAAGGTGAAGGAAAACGCCTGTCCTGACCCTGTTGGCTTTGCTCAGGGCACAATCCGTAGGGAAAGCGCCGGAGAACTGGCGGAGCCAACAGTGCTGCCCCAGCCTCTCCCAGGATATCCAGGACGTGCTTTGGGGCTCTGACCATCTCCCAAGCTCCTGGTCCCTTTGGAGGGGTGTCCAAGCTGCTCCAGCACTTTACCTGCAGTGCACAGTGATGGGGTGGTTGCCAGACTGCTGCTGCTGCTTCTGCACCGCCGCGATGATGTTGATCATCCCCTTCCCGTCCCCGGGGATCCCGACTTCTGGCCAGCCGTGGAAATGGAACTGCCGGATCTGCCGGCTCTTGTTTTCCTGGTGGGAGAGCACAGCTCGAGGTCAGGCACGGCTGGTGGGAGATCTGCACCAAGGAACCCAACCAGCTCGGGGCTTTGGGAAAACCATCCATGTGGGAAAGCTGCTGGCAGGGGGTGGCATTCCCGTGGCACGGAGCAGGGCAGGTGTGGGGAATGGGGAGCAGGAGGGAGGCCGGGTCCAGGTGGGAAGAGGGACGAGGTAGAGGAGGGTGAGGGCTGCTGGGTGGCAGCAGGGCAGAGGGCAGGATAGGAACTCTCAGGGGTGTCATCACCCCTTTGGGATGACAGGGTGATGATGGAGTGGAAGAAACGCCAGCAAGGGCTCATGGCAGCCAAACCCAGGAGCACCCAGAGCTCCCCAGGACAGAATCCAGACTCTCACCCTGGTGTTTGTCACCAGCAGGTCCCGCACCGTGTAGCTCTCACACTCCTCCTCTTTCTTGAGCTCCACAGTGATGTCTCCGTAGGACACGGAGCCGTCAGATGGCCAGTACTGGGCACACTTCTCCTGAGGAAGCATCACAGGGGGAAGACAGGGTGAGCACCCCGTATTTTTCCAAAGGGATTGGACAGAGGAGTCTTCTGGGGCCTGCAGCTGCCCAAAACCAGGTGGGATCCCAGACTCCCAGAATCACAGACTGGTTTGGGTTGGAAGGGACCTTAAAGACCATCTTGTTCCAACCCCCTGCCACTTCTTTATTTTGCTGGTGTTTGATGCAGCTGTTCCCGGGAGCTTACCTGGCCTCTCTCCTCCAGCTCTGTCAGCATCACTATGGAGCAGGATTTCCACTCCCAGATCATCCTCCAGAAGTCCTCTATCGTGTGCTGCAGCGGCCCTTGGCTGGCGATGTAGGAATCCTTCTGGCGATAACCCTGAAATTCGGAACAGGGTTATTGGTGAACTGGAAGCACCTGGATGCCAGGAGCAGCAGGAGGAATGCTCTTGGACATGGCTGGGTTGCCAAGCTGAGGGAGGATCATATCCCCTACGCATGCCCTACTTTATCCATTCAGGGAAGAATGATTTGGGTTTCCAGCAAGCCTAAGCAATATTGCAAACTCTGAGTGCCTTGCCTAAGCTCCAGGTATTCAGGTATGATTTTTACTGGGGAATTTTTGGAAGAAGTAAGCAAAACTAAAAGGAACTAGATGATCTTTAAGGTCCCTTCCAACCCAAACCGTTCTATGACCTATGGAAACCAGCAGGAAGTCTGGGTGACTCTGGCTCTTCCACAGCCACAAAGTGTTTCTGTTTCCAACCCCCTCCGACGTTCCCCTGTGCCCTCACTGCAGACTGTGACTAAAGATGCTTCGTCATTTGGAGTTTGTCATTGAAGCAAAGTTCAGCAGAGGCAGGAAATTGAATCCTCAACCAAAATTGCTTATGTGTTTTGGAAGCTTTCTGCTCTGGAGGCACAACAAGGCAGCTGCTCC